GGAGCAAAAAAATGGAGACGAAAGAGAAGATCTGCAGCAAAATCAGGACTATTGAATTGTTCATGTCGTACGAGATGAGCTGAAATATGACAAAAATTCCACAAACTGTGTCAGATATGAGACAAAACTTGACTTGAAATCTGTCTAAAGTGACTCAAAGCTTGTTCCATGTGCTCAAAGTGTCTCTAAAGTAAACTAAAAATGTGCAAAATTCCACGAAGTTTGTCTAAAATGATTGACCTCAAATTAAAAAAGATGAATCTGCAGCAAAATCAGGAATCACTGAACTGTTCACGTCGTCTAAAATGAGGGAAAATATTCTTTAAATCCACAAGTTGTGTCGGAAATGAGAGAAAATTTGTCCAAAGTGACCTAAAATCTGTCTAAGATGACCCAACGCTTGTTCCATATACTCAAATTTATCCAAAATTCCATTAACGGAAACAAGAAATGACGATTAAAAAGATGAATCTGCAGCAAAATCACAAATTATTCAACAGCTTGTGTCGTCTAACATGACATTAAATATTCAAAAAATTCCACAAATTGTGTCGGAAATGAGAGAAAATTTGTCCAAAGTGACCTGAAATCTGTCTAAAATGATTCAAAGCTTGTTTAATATACTCAAAATGTGTCTGAAGTAACTTAAAATGTCCAAAATTACTCAAAGTTTGTGCAAAATACTTACAAATTTATCCAAGATTTTTTTAGAAAGATGAATCTGCAGCAAAATCAGGAATCACTGAACCGTTCACGTCGTCTAAAATGAGGGAAAATATTTTTAAAATTCCACAAAATTACAAAATTAGTTCAAGATTCATTGAATCTTGTCCAAAAATGACTTAAATTCTGTCTAAAATAACTCAAAATGTGTCCAATCCCGTTAAAATGTCCAAAATTCCGCAAAGTTTAATCAAAAATAATTCATCTAAAATTAAAAAAGATTCATCTGCTGCAAAATCAGGAATTATTACGCTGTTCACGTCATCTAAATGAGGCAAAGTATGTCTGAAATGGCACAAAATGTGTCCAAAGTGACTCTAAATCTGTTTAAAATGACCCAAAGCTTGTTTGATGTGCTCAAAATGTGTCTCACGTAAATGTAAAAATGTCAAAATGTTTTTTTCAAAATGGCCAACTTCCTGTTGAGTTTCGGGTATGTGTTCTTGAGGCTTTTTAGTGCGTCTCGTGTTGTTACATGTGTGTACCGACTTTCGTGGCTCTACGTGAAAGTGTGTTCGGGGGCCCATTTTTTGTAATTTTGTAGGGTGTGCTGTTGAGCCATGTTGCTATTGAGGTGAGTATTTCCCCCTAATTATAAAATTTTCGCCGGGTCTGATGTGTGTGGCGAGTTTGGTGAGTGTGTGAGTACGTTGTGTACCTCAAAAAAGCGTTTCATTTTGACGAATAATAATAAACCCTAGCAATTCCAATAGGGTCTTCGCACCCTTTGGTGCTCGGACCCTAATTAAACATATGATTGATATTGATTTCTGCAAAGGCATCTCAAAATCCAAAATACTAATTTGTTAGACATTTATGTGGCATTTCACAGACAGATGTTCAACTTTCCTGTTAGTTGTGTTAGGAAACCAAAAGCTGCTTGTCACATGTAGTTTTTTCTTCATATATATATATATATATATATATATTTTTTTTTTTTTTTTTTTTTTTTTTTTTTTTTTTTTTTTTTAATGTTTTTTTTAAAGGGTAACCTCATTTCAACCAAGGGGACTGTTGGCCTCTAAACACACCATATCAATGCTTAGCGGCTATGATTTTCACACTGAGATCAATGGCCTACTGTACTTATAGCCTGTGTTAGCCCCAATGTGTTGCTTTGCTCTGCTATAGTCTCTAATACAGTCTGGGGATGTGGGGTTTTAGGTTGGCAGTGAAATGCATTCCTTTGCATTGCGCTCAGGTCTAAACTTTATTTGCCCTTGGCCTTTCTAGTTGAGTATAGTTCTGACCTACTATTTATATCTCTTAGGCCACTGTTTGCCCTTTGACTTTCTCTGGTGAAACAGTAGAGCCAGCTCAACTAAATGTCACATGGCATGCGAGTTGTATTTAATGTCCTGAGCCCCTGTCTGCTCTTCTTTTCCCCACACAGAGGCTTAGTATCACTCGACTCCTCAGAGCAGCTGGCCTTTGGTGCTGTGAGCCAAAAGCTACTTTGTGAGAATGTCAAACTTTGTTTTTTTTTTTTTTAAATGTTGTCGTTCACTATACCTTTAATTACACAATTTTTTTAAAAAAAATCCAAAATAAGAAGCAGTAGATAAAATGCTGGTTTGACAAATGCTGTACATTTAAAAGAACTGAGAATGAGTTGACTGCTCTTGCACTTGTAGTGATATAATATATTATTCTGCATATACATACAATATATACAGATGCATATATTGCCAGTATTTCCACACCCATCCACATGCCCCGCTGTTGTGAGGACAGCAAACTTTGTTCTGCTTAAGATGATCAAACACGCTGTGATGCAACAAGCAAACAGCAGTGGCCTGGAGTGCCTGTTTCACAATGTTTTCCCTGCAAAATGGACCCAATCCCTGAAATAAACTGTTGCAGTGTTGCACCGTTTCACTCAGAGGATTTTATGGGTAACTTTGTTCAACTTGAATTGTTTTACATTTAATAGATAATTCAAAATTTTACTCACTCTCTGTTTAGATTTGTGTAACTGGTGAAAAGCTTTGGTCAACAAGCCTTGCACCCATTGACCCTTTTATCCACATTGCGTGACCTTGTGCATTTGAAGGTCTCCTCAAACATGAATTGAATCTTTGTAGACACTTCATCAGGGAATTTGTGCTTCCATACTAGCATTTCTACATGGAGGTAAAGAGTGTAATACTAGAAGATGTTGTTTAGCTGCACTTGAGTGGGATGGCTGTATGCTGAAATAAAACTTGAAGCTGGGGGGATATTTTGAAAAGCGCTGAGATCCTGTCCTTTCATCTTTGCTTTAAAAATAAAGCAAAGAGAGAGTTTTAAAACCTAAGAGGACTTTATGTCAAAACTCTTTTAAAAATGTACACATAGTGGGCATTTTCAAAAGTTAAACCAGTATTTAGACTCATTATGTTTAAATTCCACCACTGTAGGCCAACCAGTTCAGAAATATGCAAATGAAGGAATTAGTTGGTTTTTTTTCTGTAATTCTATAGCTGGTGTTGGTGGCCATTGAGTGTCAGACAATGGAGCCATGTTCACATCATATGGGATAATTGATAGAGTCAGACAATATTTATAGGGGTGACCAGACTGGGATGACACAGAAACCAGCATCTTGCTCTTTTTCTGTGAGGCAAATCTCTGGATGGGGAATACTTAATTTTTTTCAGTTGCGTACTTTTATCATTTGCACATGCAGGCATGACTGTTTTGTAGAAGTACAATGAGGACTCGTAACAAGCTTAACCCTAAATTAATTTGAAAAATGTTGCAACCATTATTCCATGTAGCTCTTTTTAAATAGTTTATATTAAAATGTTAAATACATTATGGTTAGGATATAACTCCAGTTCCAAGAGTGCTTATGTACACTGTAAAAAACATTTGGGGGGGAATTTTACGAAATGTTTCCTTTAAAAAAAAAAAAAGAAAAAGATTTTTACAACGATACAGTGATTTAACAAATATTGCTCATTAAAGTCTAGTTCAATACTGCAAACAGTGTTCTAAAATAAGATACATCTAGTGATAATTAACAGGAAAATAGCATTGTTTTTTTTTGAGTTCACACAGATTTATTTGTTGAATAATTTGTAGACATCTTGTGTAATTACAGTATTTCTAAATGTTATGAGAGTGTTATTTTCTGTTATTTCTGTTACAAAGGGGTGATCATGCGTTTACTATATTGGCCCCAAAGCTGTGGAACAAACTCTCCCTGAACATCAAATCAGCTGAGTCAGTTCTGCAGTTTAAAAAAAAAAGCTTTTAAAAACCCATCTGTACAGATTGGCATTCATTTAGCATTGTATAATTTGTACGTGCATGTAGGTGTGTGTATATATATCTATATATGTCTGTGTGAATGTGTATATTTATGTGTATGTACAGATACATGTATGAATTCGTCTATGTATATACTGTATTTTATATTTACACCACACTTTAATTATGATGTTTACTTCTTGATTGTCTTACATTGTATGATATTGTACTGTAAAGCACTTTGTAACTCTGATTTAGAAAAGCGCTATAGAAATAAAGCTTACTTAGGTACGAAACTTGAGTTATTATACACTACTTTGGCACCCCAGCAGTTTTTGTTTTGCTTGATTGTTTGTTTGTTTACTGTGCAGCCCTATGACAGGATTGGGGCTTCCCCTTGGCTTTGCTCCTGTATGGGATGGACGGTAGCAATGGAAAGATTCTCATGGCTCGAACTTGAAATGATTAAATGATTACAGAATTATGTAAAATCCTGCGCACTGACAATATAACACTGTATGTTTTAGGTTTGGGTTTAATAGCAATGAATGACCAACATGGAGTGTCCCTATTTTGCTTTATTTTCATTTACACTAACGTTAGTTGAACGTTTTTAGAAAAGTAATTCAATGAGTTGTAATTCTGACATTTATAGTCAGAATTTTTATTATTAATTTTGTTGTAATGATCTGGGGGTGGCATGGGGGGGCTTCTGTGAGCTCAGGGTTTTTAAAGTCCTGCCCACGGTCCTGTACAATATTTACTCACCACACTACAATATCATACATTTATTTATTTATAGATTTTTTATTATTATTCTCAAGTGGTAAGATATGACAGTTTCCTACCTCTGGAGCTGCTGAACGTGCTCCCTACTTGCCCTTTAAACCGGGGAGGCGGGTCTGTGAGGGGGAGTTGTCCGGAGTGTACGTGTGGCTGCCCCGCCGCCGCAGTCGCCTCCTCATCGGACCAGACTGCGGATCACACGGGGTGACCTGAGGTGCTCACTGGGGGGTCAAGAAAAAATGGTGAAAATCACGACAGTGAAGACCAAGCCGTACACGGACCAGAAGCCCGGGACGAGCGGCCTGAGGAAGAGGGTGACGGTGTTCCAGCAGAACCAGCACTATGCGGAGAACTTCATCCAGAGCATTATCTCCGTGGTCGAGCCCGCCGAGCGCCAGACGGCCACTCTGGTGGTGGGAGGAGACGGCAGGTTCTTCATGAAAGACGCCATTCAGCTGATCGTTCAGATCGCAGCTGCCAACGGGGTCAGTAGGAGAAGGAAACACTGTGCACCTCTGCCTCCCTCAGCCCCTGTGGGTGAAGCTAGCTGAGAACACAGTAGCAGCTCAGCTAGCTAGCTACAGCCGAGCTAGCTGCTATTCCTCAGTAACTACTTTGTTGTGTTGTGTATGATAGTTTATAAGTTAGCTCTTAGGTTAACTACTGAGAGCGGTCGAGTGACTTAACTAGCTCAGTGCTAACTGTGACACTTTTAGCATTCAAAATATAAACCAAGAACACGTGTCTTTAACAAGCTAACGCTCTCACTGACAGTTAAAGTTGTGTTCTGGGTCTGAACGTTACAGGTTGATGCTAGAAATACAAAGTGAATGACTTAAAGTGAATGTTAGCTAACTAACTCTACGTGACAAGTCAAGCTTCCCTCATTCCTGTGATATCACACTGTTGGAGCAAAGATGACTTTCCTGCCTTAACTTGTTTGATGCTGGTCTGGATTTCATTAAGATCGTGTCAATGGAAAACTACTTGTCCAGAGCAGGAACCCCTGACAGGTGCCATCAGCAGCCGTCTGGGTTTCCCTGCTCTGTCTCCGATGGCCTGCATGACCGCAGTGATCTTTTGGTTAAAGTGCCACTTGCATATCCAACGATTACCTTTGACATTTACACACCGACACGACGCCGTTACTCTGCTGCAGATCACTGATGAATAATTCTTTAATGGGGTTTCACAAACGATCTTAGGTTTTAGTCTTGCACAGTTCTATAAATGACAAATGTTGTTCTAGTGTTGTAAAGGGAAGCGTTTAAACCGTAACGCCTTGTTGTTTCATAATGATCTCCGCTAAATGTCACTGGCTGCCTTCACCGTGATGCTGCTGAAACGCTTTGAGGCGAGCAGGGGGCGTGACGAGCAACGTGCAGCTGCTCACGTTGCCCTGCATATGTCTGCACAATGGATGGGAGCTGCACGGCCAAGCGCAGAATGCATGGATATAGGACATGCTGTACATTTAAGCCATTTGAGCCATTTAAGCAACCGATGCTGGGGATTTAATACTAACAGTCAATTGCAAGCATGAGACAGCCTGGACACACTGGTTGCTGGCTAAACTGTCTCTTGAGATGACTGGTGTGTCTGTTGTAGATGCTGCCAGTAGGGTTAAGTTGCACAAAGATGTCTGATCTGTTTTTTTTTTTCTGGTCTATGTTAGGAAATAGTGGAGAAATAGTACCATGGACTAAGTTACAGAGACAGAGACACTACTGTTTGCATGTTTGCACAAAGCAAACCGTTGCACCAGCAGTGTGATTTCAAAACTAAAACGCAGTCAAGATGCTGTTTCTGTATACCGCAATCATGAAGCACTTCATAGAAGTACTGTGTGGATTGAAGTTATTTAGTTTTTCAGTGGCATAAAAAGTGATCGGGGTGTGTCTGCTTTTGTTTGTGCAGTATGTTGATAATGACAATGTGTAAAGGTAACTATGATACTGTGTCAGTGTCTCTATCACAGCTTGCACTCCGACCTACATGTTATTGACCCTTAGTAGGCTGATAAGGTTGTTTTTAGGGCTGGAACTGGTTTGATTGCTAGTAATCGTGGAGATTGATATTAGGAGCAGATATACATTTGCAGCAGAATTATAAACACAACCCAAAACTGCCTTAAAATCTCTTTTGTTAGTATTTATTAAGAGAGACCTTTCAAACATTTTACACTTCAGTCTTAATAAGCTGGTTCTGGTGATTATCAGGGTCCTATAATATAGTTAATGACAAAGTTAGTGCTTCGACTTAATGAAGTCATCAAATCAATGAATAGGACAAAAAAAAATCTGCAATGTAGTTCACTGATGCAAAGCCGCCACTTAAATTAATCAAAATTTGCACTCCCCACACTGGCACATTCCTGCTCCTTAAATGTGCAACATGTTTGGATTACCCCCATTGTACCACCTTCCTCTCTTTATCCTTGTGTCTGTAAGTTTATGCATGTGCACATGTGTTCCTGGTTGCAGATCAGTCACCTGGTGATTGGTCAGAATGGCATCATGTCCACCCCAGCAGTCTCCTGTGTGATCCGCAAGATAAAGGCAGTTGGTGGAATCATCCTCACAGCCAGCCACAACCCAGGCGGCCCCAATGGAGATTTTGGCATCAAGTACAACATTTCCAGTGGAGGTGAGACGACACTTACAGTTCCTCTGTAGTCCAAACAATGAGGAGAAATGCGTCATTTTAAAAAACACTATTGCACTATTTGGCGCTTCATCTGTATTTGATGCATTATTTGATTCAATGTATCTGTTCGTACATCATTTCTAAACATGTTTTTTGCTTTGCTTCCCCAGGACCTGCTCCAGAGGGCATTACAAACAAAATATTCGAGGTCAGCAAAGGCCTGCAGGAGTATTTCATCTGCCCAGAGCTCAAAGTGGATCTGTCCAAGATCGGCAAGCAGACCTTTGAAGTGGACACTTTCAAGCCCTTCACAGGTACGTAGCCTCGAAAGCAGAGTCCTGTCTTTAACGGAAAGATAAACTGTTTATTACAAGTCATAAGTTAATTTGTTCAGTGCTGGAAATTGATATTGGCAACATGAAATGTAGAGTGAAGTTCAACCAGGACTTGGCAACAAACAAGTCTCTCTGCTGCTTGTTAACACGATTTAGTCAGTTGAAATGTTAAAAAAATCTAGTTGGTGCCCTGGGAAATATTCCTAATAGTGTGACTAGTATGTAATGATAGTTGATTTTGTAAGTCTTTATCTTGACATCTGCCACCATTTTAATTGTGCTGTTTCCTCTTTATTTGTCTTAGTGGAGATTGTGGACTCAGTTGAGGCCTATGCTGAGATGCTACGGGGAATCTTTGACTTTGCCGCACTGAAGGAGCTTCTCTCCGGAGCCAATCACATTAATGTCCGACTGGATGCTATGCATGGAGGTATGGAGCGGCATGTCTCAACCGTAAGCCTTGTGACAGGGAAACAGATTGCACAGACCATATTTGGACCAAAAGCTGAGACAGTGGAAACTAGGTTCTTGCGTTAGTGTGAATAAATTGGCAACAGAAGACATACATAGAAAAAAAATTCTTAGCACATCACAGTGTGAAAGAGTTTAATAATGTCATTTTGTAGGTGTCCCTGGCAACATGTATCGCCCCTCTAATGACACTTGCTCTCCCTCTAGTGGTTGGCCCTTATGTGAAGAAGATCGTGTGTGAAGAACTGGGTTCTCCTGCCAACTCAGCCGTCAACTGCGTCCCCCAGGAGGACTTTGGTGGCCACCACCCAGACCCCAACTTGACCTATGCAGCCGACCTGGTCAACACAATGAAAGGTGGAGAATATGACTTTGGAGCCGCCTTTGATGGCGATGGTGTAAGTGGTTGAACTTTTTTTTTGAGAAGATGATTTTTACAGATTACTGGGAAGAGGTGAGAGCGGACTTGTGAAGTCTGTGAACTGGATTTGAATCGATGATGTCAGCTCACATAAAACGACTTTAATAAACTCTGGTCTGTTAACTGTTTAATTTTGAGTTTTTCTCTCTAATAGGCCAGAGTCAGTAATCAAAATAATGGGACTGGTTCCCAGGGTGAGACAGAATTGATCTCATTTTGACTTTGGCACAACATGTAATGAGGACAGTGAATGTTTTTCGTTAGCGGTTTTTCTCTGTAGCTCTGACACTTATCTCATGTTTCGTGAAAGGAGCAGATTAAATATATGGCAACATTGGTAATATGATAAAAAAAAAAAATCATTAAGGCATACTTACACAATTTGTCATCCTTCTGCTGCCTTCAGAATTCATAATGAGATGCAAGAAATATTGTATTTACGAGGTTTTCTTTTACATTTTGAAATCCTAAAGGGAAAACAAATCAACTGTAGATCAGTGTCTGTAGAGATTCAGTAAATCTTTCACAAATGATGGACAGTAAAATGTCTTGTGGCCAGTCACCACACTGAACAAGTATTTATCTCAGGTAGCATATTTTTAGTCATGCTGCTGCTTGTGATTGTTGACCTTGATTTCTCTGCCACTTTTTTTTTTTTTTTTTACTACATCCTCAGGACCGCAACATGGTGCTGGGTAAACATGGCTTCTTTGTGAACCCCTCCGACTCTGTGGCTGTCATTGCTGCTAACATTACCAGCATCCCTTACTTCCAGAAGACTGGTGTCAAAGGACTGGCTCGCAGTATGCCCACCAGTGGAGCCTTGGACAAGTAAAAACTACACAACAACATTACGGCTAATCCTAAATTTTCCTTCTTGGGTAAATTGAAACACCGCTCCCACTGGTTGCTCAGATTTTCTTATGAAGTTTATTATGTGTTTCAGTGTGGCTAAAGCTCTGCAGATGCAGCTGTACGAGACTCCAACTGGTTGGAAGTTCTTTGGGAATCTGATGGATGCTGGAAAACTCTCACTGTGTGGAGAGGAAAGCTTCGGCACTGGTGAGAGCAAGTCATCTGATTTATGCAGCTTGGACTCCAGTAAGAGAAAGCAGCCACTCATCCCTTCTCCTCTCTCTTGCTAACTAACCAGGCTCGGATCATATCCGTGAGAAGGACGGCTTGTGGGCGGTGCTTGCATGGCTGTCGATCTTAGCCACCAGGAAACAGAGCGTGGAGGAGATCATGAAGGATCATTGGCAGAAATTTGGCAGGAACTTTTTCACCAGGTCAGAAATTATTCCTGTAGAACATTTTGGGAAATGTTTGATAAATCCCCAAAAAAGGAGTGTTTGAAGTTGCTAGTAGTAAGAAATGTTGTTAATCTTTGTTAGTCCCAGGACTTTGTTCTAAAAACACCCTCTGGGACCATCAGGAATGTAGGTGGCTCAAATGGAACTCTGGCACCTTCCAGTGGCAAATTAAAGAAGTGCAGCACTTCAGACTTTACGTACAGTTGTCCTCAAATGTAATCATACCCTTCCATTAAAGAAAAGGCAAAATTCACAATAGTACCTCAAATAACTAGAAACTGAAAAAATAATAATAAATAAAAAATTGGCAAATTATAATTTAGTGAAATAAGACATTGCTTTGTAATTGTGGTTGAAAAGAATAATTTTAAAAAACAAAACTGTCCCAGACACATTGAGCACTTTGCTGATGAGCAGTGAGCCAAACTCAGAATACCTGTCAACAGGTGCAGAAGTCTGATTGTATTTGGGTCGAGCCCTAGTTTGCTTGTTGTTGTTTTTTTAAAAAAATATATTTCCATTGAACCACAATTCTTAAGCAATTTCATGATTTTCATAATTTTCTTTTATTTATTATTACTTTTGTCAATTTCAACTTTCAGAGACAGCTGTTTTTTTCCTTCTCTAATGGGAGGGTGTGAATACATTTGAGGACAACTGTAGCTATATTTACTCTTTGCTCCAGTTGCTTTTCTTTTTTCAAAATGAAAGTTAAAGCAATAACCTTATAACCAAAAATCAACCACTGTCTAAAGCCAGTTATGAACAACATTATTGTTTTTACATCAACAACTTTACATTCAGGTACGACTACGAGGAGGTTGACTCGGATGCCGCCAACAAGATGATCAAGGATCTGGAGACAGCAATGTTCGATCCTTCCTTTGTAGGAAAGAAGTTCTCTTCAGGCGATAAGACTTATGAGGTTGCTATCGCTGATAACTTCGCCTACACAGACCCTGTGGATGGAAGTGTGTCCAAAAACCAGGTAGGAGACCAAGTTCTGTCTGTGTTCTCTCAGTTTACTTTCTATCAGCAGATGTAGTCCATTGCTCAGACCAGATACTGCAATAGTTTTATGTGCTCACATTTATGTTTGAGGAGTGTTGGATCCATCCGTTTTCAAGTCCAACTAAAAGTCTGTGTCCAATTAAGCACTCAAAGAACTTCTTCCTTACAATCAAGCCTTAATATTTTAATGTGATCCCACGCTGTTTTCAGATGATATATTAACAGTAATGACACAATTCAAATATTGGCTGAATACCTTATGAAGTCATATCCTAAACTATCAGCATGCGACCGCGTGAATTATTGTGCCTCATACATTATACCTCCACATGTTTTTTTCCACTGACTGTACATTTTCATTCATCATCATCTCCTCTGTCTATCTTTGTTTGTCTCTTGCTCCATCAGGGTCTCCGGATCATCTTTTCTGACGGATCTAGGATCATTTTCCGTCTCAGCGGTACAGGCAGCGCAGGAGCAACCATCAGGCTCTACATTGACAGCTATGAGAAGGACCCGCAGAAAATTAACCAGGATCCACAGGTCAGGACAATGAGGAGTAGTTCCAGCTGGTTTGATCCAGTGAGAAAAAGATGAGACAATGAAGTCATCAGACAGGAAAATAAACATCCATGGTTTTAATATATGGGATTAATATAGTTTGTCACACCATCACCCTCCTTAGTTACAACTGTCAAAGGTTTGCTTACATGGGCGCCAAAAACCGTTCAGGCTGGCTGGAATGATCTGTAATATGCAGGATGGCCAGTTCGCATGGGGTGGAGCTCCCCCCGAAAAAAACAAGTTCCAGAGATTTTATTCAACACGGGAGATGATGGAGATGTTTGGCCGAGTTGTGAGTTATGGCAGCTTATCAAGGCCAGTATGAAGAGAGGGAAACTTAGCACAAGGGGAAAATAAAGAGTGTGAGCTCCAACTAGACACTTCATAAAGTCGTTCTTACTGGTGTGGACAGGGAGGTGATGTAGTACAAGGAACCAAGACAAGAGAGAAAAAAGTGAATAAAAGTTCCTCTCAAGCCCTTTATCCTCGTCGGCGCTTACACACCATGAATGAACAGATAAGCAGAAACATATTGCTTCAGAATCTTAACTCGACAGATAAATGGCCGTGAGGTTAATGGTTCAGTTGGCTGACTTTGAGTAGGTTTGATTTATTCACCCAGAGGGTTACCTCTTCATATGAGCAGATTCATAGAAGAAAAGAAAGCACTTTATAGAAGCTGCTTTGCATTTTTACCAAAAGCACTTGTTTTGGGAAGCTGGTGTTTTCTGTTATATTGTTATGGTTTAGACAACAGTTTTAAGAAGATAATTCAATGCTAGCAGATCTCTGGTTGGACTGTGATAGCTGATCTTTCTGCTTATAGGTCTGCAACTCAGATTAGCTGCTAATTAAAGGCAAATGCATGAGCAGTGTCTCACAAAAGACTGCATCATTTAGATTAAAATTTTAGATTTAAAAAAAGATTAAAGATGATAAAGCTTTAAAACAAAAATTGCTCTCAAGATGAGTAAATCACTGTGCTTTTAAAAAATGTGAATCAAATTCAGTGTCAATAATGTTAATGTTACCAAGTTGCTTGACACTTTGACCCCATTCAAAAATGTTGTAGTCATTCAGAATAAATCCATCCATACACGTCTGTACACCCCTTAATCTTCACTGGGGTCGCGGGGGGGCTGGAGTCTATCCCAGCTGACTCAGGATGAAGGCAGGGGACACCCTGGACAGGTCACCAGTCTATCACAGGGCTACACTTAGAGACAGACAACCAAGCACACTCACATTCACACCTATGGACAATTTAGAATCACCAATTAACCTCAACATGTTTTTGGAACTTGTGGGAGGAAGCCGGAGAACCCGGAGAGAACCCACGCTGCACGGGGAGAACATACAAACTCCACGCAGAAAGATCCCGGGTGTTCTCACCAGGACATGAACTGACAACCTTGCTGCGAGGCAACGGTGCAAACCACTGCGCCACCTTGCAGCCAATTTAAAATAAATCAAACCATGTTAATATAAAGCATGCTGTAAAACACCCAGAGTTGAGCAAAGTCCTTTAAATGTTATAAGACTGGTGGCAATAAAAAATATCTGCAAAAAGAGATGACAGAAAACAGGATAAAAACTCACAAAATCTATTTGTCAAATTAAACAAAATGAACATAAAATGCTAAGAAACAAGACAAAACAGGACAAAAACTTGTAATTGTAAAATGTAATGCATACAAAATACTAAAACATTGAGACCAATGAAAGCAAAACGCAACTAAAACTGTACCCATCTTGAGTGTTCATCAGGGAGTAATATTTGTTTGAACCAGGAATGCTCTCCCAAAGCAGATGAAGGTGATTCAACAGCCTTCAAAATAGTGGATTTATGTAAACATTACTTCAAAGGAATATTTTGATAATTTGAAATATTTAGAAAACGTGCATTTTTGCTTTTTTTAATCAAGCATAGATAGATAAGATACCGCTGTCATACCCATCTTTTAAGACCGAAGCCAGGAGATCGTATTAAGAAGTTAAGACAAATAGTAGAAGCTGGGTGAAGCTGCTTATTTATTGCCTGGCAGAGTTGAAGGGTAACACTTCTTATGCTTAGCTTAGCTTGTTTAACTCTTTACTTCATTGAGAAAAAAGCATTTGAATTCTTGTTACTGTATATTAGTGTATAACTTCTACTTCTTGCATGAGAAGCTGCATGTATTGACAGATTTGTCTAAATGGCCCAGAAAGTCAGATGTTCTTTGCTCTTTGTCATTGTCCAGGTGATGCTGGCGCCCCTGGTAGACATTGCCCTCAAAGTCTCTAAGCTCCACGAGAGTACTGGACGCACCGGCCCAACTGTGATCACATGATTCCTCTACCACACTGCCTCCACTCACGCTCAGCAACGGGATACCTCCGCTCTCTTGGGGGCGAAGCTGCCCCTGAATGCTGTCTTGGCTTGGGTTGCTGGCCGCCTCAAAGTCAGAGCAGGGTGAAAAACTGAAAGTCAACATGCACGTTGAATACAGGAAAATACATGAGGAGCTGCTGATTTTGCCAAAAGTCATCCACTGCCGTCTTCTAGTGCTAGACTACTGTAAAGTGAGCTAATATGCTGTTGCTTCTTCTTGTCTTGACACCTTTCAAGTGACCCATCTTACATAAAGACCTGGAGTGCGTTCCAATATTCATACTGCCATACTATGTAGTATGTCCCAATACACAGTGTGTCAGAATAGCAGGATCACCTTCTACATGTGGTTGCATTTTGCAGTGTTCAAGCCAGCATGCTTTTCTAGCTGTTCTGACCCACAGTCCTCTACACAGTGGAAAATATCTCACATATGTCGGTACATATATACGTGTGTTAACAAGCTGGAGCGGCAGGTAGATTAATGAACAAGACGATCAAGTTGCAACGTTCTGGCTGTGCGTCATAAATGAATGACTTGAGTGTCAGTGTCACATGTCCAGTAGCACATGCTCTCACTGTGATTTAAGGAAAACAAACTTTAATGACTCAAAAGTGGACTTAAACTGCCTCATGTAATTTCTGGAACCGTGTTCAACTGTGTTATTGTCCAACTGTCTCCCTGCTCTGTCATTAAATGGAGAAACTGCCAAACTGGCCATAGATCAGCAATCTGGGGCAACCTCACCCCTTTCCCTCCTCTCCCCCCACCCCTTTATTGACCTGGTGCCTTCCCCCAACCTCTTTGCTCTAAAACCACCAAAACAGCCTCTCAACTTGAACCACCGTGAAATTCTTGTGAACTAACATCCACCATTAATAAAAGAACCTTACACAAAAGGGATGTGGTCATGTTTTAAAATGTTTTTCTTTAATTTTCCGAGTACATGATTAGTGCTTTTCATTCGTAAGCATACGTCTGTCATATACCCACAAGTACTAATAGATACTGTACCTTTCCTTCAAGAAACCAGCTGGTGTTGGGAGCAGCGATAATTGCCTGAACAGAGCAGGATTAAGAAAACTGTGCATTCACAGTAGAAACCTGACACAGGAGTGTGTGTGTGTGTGTGTGTGGTGGTGGTATTAATGATAGCTTTTGTTCAGTCGGGAAATTATTCAAGATAAATGCAGAGATCCTGTCCAGCAGCAGGGGAGCCAAATCGTAGGACAAGCCTCCAGGAGAATAAAGTGCTTCGAAAAAAGTCAATGCCTCTCCAAAGACATTCCTGCGGCAAGTAGAGATGTAAAAACTGATGAATTCTCTCTTTCCCTCACAAGTCTTCTTCTGTAATGAGATAGTCACTGTAATCCTGATTAACGATTAGGGTTACAAAGTGTCAGGAGGTCGGAGGATCCTTCAGGCTATATCTAAAAACAAACATGAGCTGAAATGTACATTTTTTTGGAAGCGTAGTTTTTCACAAGGGGGAATTAGTGAATGATGCCTGACACAGCTTTGGACTATTTCAGACTGCAGGTACTGGACTGGAGTCAACGTTTTTTCTTACACAAGTCACATATTTGGATGTACAATGGCAACAATTTAGTTAATTGGAGTGACGGTGGAAAATCAGGTGCACCCACGCACCAAACGGCACTCTGAACATGAAAGAGAAAATTGGCCTCAATCACAGATGGCACATTTTACACCAATTTCTGTCATGTATGCCAGCATCATTCATTCTAACCAACACCATCAGCTCTACCTGTTTGCACTACCAGTTAAGCCACTTTACAGTTAAAGTCCCTCAGCTGGAACTAATAGGCCAATCCAGTTGTATTTTCTTGCAAATATCTAAAGAGTTTGACGTATGATGACATTATGTTACAGCTGACTATTACTGCTAATTTACATTTCCTGTGATTTTACTGACACGAGCTTTTAGGCGCACATTTCACATGGCATTGTTAACTTCTAAGAGCTACATCTGAATAAATGTTTCCAATCTTTAAATCTGTGTTTACAGTGAGATTGCAGATAGGGCTTTTAAAGCCAATCGCAATCCTTCAAAGGTGCAGTCTGCAGCATTCGTGATGTACAAGCGCTCCAAACAGTTCCTCTCACTTCCCTTAGGAGTCACAATAACAGGGTGGAAATGTTTTCATGCTGCATTGTTCAGATCCTGTCAGTCTGACATAGTGCAACGCATAATGTGTTCCTCTTGTTTGGCTCCTAATGGCTTACAGGCTGTATTTGGATTGGCTGTCATTACATCAGGTAATCACAAAAAGGCTTACATTAAGCTGGCCAGGTCCACAGCTATTAGATGTCCAAATGGCTTTCTCTGGAGCTGGCGTGGAGCCGTGTGTTTTTAGAATGGCCTGTTCATTGCTCTCATGCAAGAGGAGGGCAACGCAGCACACAAAGACATCATTCTCAAAGTCCTCAAATAAGGACTAAGCAAAGCAATGAGGTTTTGCTCCTCTGGTTCTTGTGGTTCTGCCTGCATGAGACTTTTCCTCTGCTTGTGCACAAAAAGTGATAACATATTAAGAGTCTGGGAAAGGTAAGCTTTAAAAAAAAACAAAAAAAACAACTGACTGTATGATCTAAACTGTATCCCAGCCTGGTTGTCATTCCAGAACTTTAGTGACCATTCTTTGTTTTGGTAGTTTCATCATAGGAAGCTCATGAGGATAGCGTCACATGTTAGTAGAATTACATGGTTGAAATAATAGTGCAACATTAGTGGCTGGACTCTTGCTCACTACTCCTGCACTGGAATATTAAACAGCAAGTTTGGTATGTGGTAATCTGATAAAACTCAAATTTATTTGTAGTATCTACTAAAATAATAAGGGTTATAAATAATGTTTTTTTTTTTTCTTCTTACCGATCTTATTTCCAATAGGACCCACCTGAAAGTCAACTGGATATGTAGCAAACAGCCACAGCATTAAAACCACTGTCCGTTAAGAGTTTAAGAGACATTCGTTATTTCAATACAATGAGATGTTCTTTTGGGAAACTTTGGTTCTTGGCCTTCATGTAGATGTTGCTTGACTATGACACATCTGACACACCAAACACACACCCCTCGTGGCAACGGCAGTTCCAGAGAGCAGCAGCCTCCCCTGACGGAACAATGTGCCCCACCACACTGTAAAAACTACTTACAAATGGTTCAAGGAATACAACAAACATTTAAAGACACTGACCGGGCCTCCAAACTCGCCAGATGACAATCTAATTGAGCATCCATTGAATACACTGTAAGACATTTGGTAAACCAGCCTTGATAACGGTGCTGAGCACAACTGATGATTCTAAATTCTCCATAGATGTGAATGTGAGTGTGTTTGGTTGTTTGTCTCTGTGTGTAGCCCTGCAATAGACTAGTGACCTATCCCTAAGTCAGCTGGGATAGGCTCCAGCCCCCCCTGTGACCCTAGTGAGGATCAAGCAGCATATAGATAATGGGTGGATGGATGAATTCTGAACCTATTGGTGGATAGCTAGCCAGCTGAGAAGTCATGACTTGTAAATAAGACAACTTTGCATGTAGCAGAAGTCATACTTCTTCTTGTTCCTGCCACCAGTCTAACAGAGCAGTTAGCTTCCCAGTTGAAGATGAAAGTGATGGTGGTCTACTCAAGTCAGCTTTCCTTGTAAGACCACAATCTGGATAAGCAAGGATGCTACTGGAACTGTGATAACTAGATTTGAAATTGCAGTCTTTCACTTCTGCTCTAATTCCAGTACAGTAAATTTCATTACCTACTGGTCTATAACAAACTACCCCTGTCTGACACTAACTGGGAACCTCTATAGTCCCAACAAAAGTCTATGCGTTATACCCCAACCAGCCACAACATTATTCCTTCTGACAGATGGAATGAATATTTTTGATCATCTCCTTACAGTGCAATGCTCTGTCGAGAAACGTTGGGTCCAGACATTCATGTGGCTACATCGACACATACCACCCACCTAAAGATTGTTACGGACCAAGCACAGTCCCCCATGACCATAACATTCCCTGACAGCAGCGGCCTCCCCAGCAGGTCAATGCAATGCAATGGCTTGAGGAACATAACAAAGAGCCCAATGCATTGAATTGACCTCCAAACTCTCCAAATCCCAATCCGAGCAAGTATCTAGGGGGCTCACTCTAACAAGCCTGATCCATGAAAGCCACAACCCATAACCCACAGGACTCAAAGGATCTGCTGCCAGTGCACTGGTGGACGATATGACAGGACACCCACAGAGGTCCTCTGTCTGCTTTGACAGCAGACGATGGACCTACACAATCTTCGCCATTATTATTCATCATACCAAATTTAAAAAGGGTTCTATATATTTTCAAAACTTAAGGTTCCGCTTTTCTGTCTTGCCTGGAAAAGATCCATTTGATGTTCTATTGAGAGACTTTGGTGTGCTATTTGTACACCTGATGGATGCTAAGCTAAAAGCAAAGTAAGTGAGGAACCAAAACTACTTTGTCTGCAGCATGATATCTCCTCTTGCTCGTCTGCTAGAAGTGAACAAGCTTTGACAGGGTGTGTGAGGCTAACAAAGTCTCAGACAGTCCTGGCACTAACACATGTAGAGGCACCACATGAGTCATCACCATCTTTACACTCTCAGTTTTCCCGGTCTGGAGCCGAAGTGTACAGGATGATGTGTGAGGCCATAAAAACTACTCAGCAACTGGACGAGATGAGTTGGAACATTTCTGACCACACAGTTGAAGCGAGCAGTGTGGAGTGGAGGCTGAACTGTGTCTTCGTCTGGCTCTCGGGCAATAAGAACACTAATACTCTTGGAGACACCGCACTTAAACGGCCCATTGTCCCGTGGAGTGTTTGTTTGATGGGGAGACTGTCCGGACCTTTTCTAAAGTTTAAGATGAAGGAAAATGCGAATACTGCAGCTTTACACTGCACCACAAATAAACATGTTAAAACTGACTGTTTGCTGTAGGCAGACAAAAGCGCAATGTGTGTTTTTCCCCTTTTAGCCTGATTTATCCAACAAAAAAGCAGCACTATGTATCCCCTGCTCTGTATGCGCTGCACTAAAAATACAAACCAAAGAAGGAAAATGTAGTCAAACCCTGTAATGTATTGTGTTACATGTATTCAGCTGAAGCCATTATTGTTCTGCAGACTGAAACTTCACATAACTTAAGACCCTACAGAGAAGAACTGGACATTACAAAGTCGCCTTGGCACCAGTGCCCATTTTCTTGAGTTTCTGCGAGGTTTTTCCACCAGGTAATTGGATGTTTTTGAGGTGCTCAGTGTTTGTTCCTTTATTGTATACGTTGCCTGCTCTGAGAGAAGATTTCCTTTTCTCTTTTTGCTGGCAGATCGGCTCGGAAAAGTTCCTTGCAATCCTGCATTTGTTGTATATTAGCTCTGACTGCACTATGTTAATAACCAAGGTACACTCTGGTTTTGACAGAGCTCACAGTTGGACGGGTCAGGAGTGGGTGAGGGGGGATACAGACAACGCAGTGAGACTGATGTGGTCTGTCAGCCATTTAAGGATGTCTAACTGTGGCAGAAACTGTCTTGAATTATCTGCTGATTGAAGAATGTGCAAAGTGCTAACATATTTTCAGAAGAAAATCAGATAAAAGCACAAACTATTAGTGTCATTAGGATAAAGGGAGAAGCTTTTGGAGAAACAAAAACACAATGAAGATGTAGTTGATATCTTTTGAAAGCCTATCATGACCCTCATCCTTTGGTTCTCCTTTATTGACTGAGACATCATTGCCAACTTTGTAACAAAGAGCCTCCCTGTCCATGTGCTGTGGCCACAGCAGAAAGCCTCAGGGATCTGCTCTTCAAAGAGACCTTTAGAACCCTAATCCACTGCAACATGA